TGTCCCTCAGACCATTGGAGGGCTGCCACATACTGTGCTCCTCTCACTAACCACCAATGAAAGAGGTGCCCCTTCCTGAAGTGCGGCAGGGGGCCGGATAAATGGCCTCAGGGGCCTGCATGTGGCCCACGGGCCGTAGTTTGGGGACGCCTGAGTTAAGGTGTCTAGTGTATGGTATGTTATGGCTACTTAGTGTCAGTTAGTCTAGAGCCCATGTAGTAAGTGCCTTCAAGAGGTAAGCATTTACCTCTTGCTCAAGGTGGGAGCAAGACATGACTGCTATCACATTTTTGTTTATTTTTGTAGAGACAGGGTCTTACTTTGTGATCCAGGCTGGATTCAGAATCCTAGACTCAAGAGATCCTCCTGCCTCCACTTTCTCAGTAGCTGGGACTATAGGCATGCCATGTCTGCTTGCTGTCACATTTTACTGCTTCTCTGGGCCTGGTAATTTAAAGGGACTTGCATTCCTCAGATTAAAAGTTTATTTTCTTTCTTAGAACACAGAGAACAAGGGAAAGCATCATGCAAGATGAGGCAAGAGAACTATGGCAGAGGCCAGACCAATCAGGACTTTTTAAAAGATTAAGGATTTAAGTCTTTCAAGAGCAATGGGAGGATGCTGGAGGATTTTAAGCTCTGTGTGTGTGTGTGTGTGTGTGTGTCTGTTTGTATGGTGTATGTTGTAGGGTGGCAGGGCAGGTGTGACAGAATCAGATTGTTCTTTCCAAATAATTGGTATAAAAGGGACTAGAGGGGAAAATGTGGATGAGGGAGACCAGTTACAAGGCTATTGAGTATTGAGTAATCCTAGTACAAAATAGCTTGGATTAGGGAGGGGGCCAGGGAAATAGAGAAAGATATAAGCCTGAAACTCACTCTCACTACTTCCTGTCCTCAATTATTTAATTCATTTTCAGACCAAGTTATGTTGTATGCCTGCAACCCGTAGGATCTAAACTATATCATTTGGAAGATACATTATTCTCCAGCTTCCAGTAAGAAATCTAAAAAAAAAAAAGTAATTTATTGCTTCTCCTGATTCTATCCTACTTTTAGTTTTGCTTTTTCAAAAGTACAATGATAATTATATATTGTATATTATATATATATATATATATTTTTTTATATATGTATATATATATATTTGAGATCGACTCTTACTCTGCTGCTTAGGCTACAGGGGCTGGATTTCAGCTCACTGCAACCTCCGCCACCCAGGTTCAAGTGATTCTCCTGCCTCAGCCTCCAGAGTAGCTAGGATTATAGATATGTGCCACCACCTCCAGCTAATTTTTGAATTTTTCATAGAGACAGGGTTTCACTGTGTTGGCCAGGCTGGTCTCAAACTCCTGACCTCAAATGATCCACCCTCCTTGGCCTCCCAGAGTACTGGGATTACAAGTGTGAGCCACTACGCCTGGCCTATAATATTTTGACAATTATTGTACAACAGTATTTGATGGTGGCCTATTACATCCTTAGTTTCTGGGGTTTCATAGGTACACTTTAATCTCAGTGGGAACACTAAGCCTTATTATTTATTGAAATATTAGTTTTCTTCTGGCACTTCTCCAGGAGATCTCTCTTCTCCTTAAAAACTTTTTTTAAAGACATCATTTAGCCAGGCCTGGTTTTGCACACCTGTAGTACTAGCAACTCAGAAAGCTGAGGCAGGAGGATCCCTTGAGCCCAGGAGTTTGAGGCTGCAGTGAGCTATGATTGTACCACTGTATTCCAGCCTCGGCAACAGAGGGACACCCTGTCTGAGGAAAGAAAGTAAGAAAGAAAGAGAAAGGAAGGAAGGAGAGAGAGGAAGGAAAGAAAGAAAGAGAAAGAAAGAAAAAGGAAGAAAGAAAAAGAGAGAAAGAAAAGGAAGAAAGAAAAAGAGAAAGAAAAAGAAAGAGAAAGAAAAAGAAACAAAGGAAGAAAAGGAAGGAAGGAGGAAGGAAAGAAGGAAAGAAAAAGAGAAAGAAAAGAAAAAATTTTTTTGAAAGAGATAAACCTTATTTTATTTTATTTTTTTTAATTTTTATTTTTTTACAAGATGGGCTTTCACTATCTTAGCCAGGCTGGTCTTGAACTCCTGACCTCGTGATCCACCCACCTCGGCCTCCTAAAGTCCTGGGATTACAGCTGTAAGCCATCATGCCTGGCCAGATAAACCTCATTTTTTATTTTTTATTTTTAAAAAGAATGTCACATGATGATGGTGTCTTATATAGATTATTAACCATATCCTTGTCTTACACATATTATTATGTTCCTATTTTAGTTAATACTTAATTACCTGAATCATTATCTCCTGGGGAAAAGCATTAGGTTACAGAGGCACAGGATCAGGCTTGTGTTGTCTTCCTCAAAATTTTCTCAGGATTTTCCTTATATTTTGCTTTCAGTGAGGTTCATTGATTGGACCTTCTCATTATTGTTAATGTTTGAAGTAAGTGAATTTATCAGTGATTTACAATAACCATTTACAATACCCTTTATCCATTATTTATGGAAATTATTTTTGTACCAAATTAGCTTTGATGAGAATATGTAGTTTGCACATTGATTAGTAAACATATTTTACATCTTTAAATTTCCATTCATTCCTTTTTTATTTGAGGATAGATGTTGATGACACTTTGCAAGAATCCTTGTTAATCAGAAAGTGTTAGAATCTAAGGATAAATTGCCTGCAGTTGGGAACATAAGAAAAAGAATAAAACTGAACTTTTTTTCTCTGATAATACCTCAGCCACCTTAGAAACTTAAAATATGTATATACTGTAATGCACCACATAATGATGTTTTAGTCAACAAAGGACCACATATACAACAGTGGTTCCATAAGATTATAATGAAGCTGAAAATTTTCTATTGCCTAGTGACTTGTAGCTATGATAATGTTGTAGAGAATGCATTACTTTTTCTATGTTTAGATACACTAATACCGTGTCTATCATGTTACAGTTGCCTACAGCATTCAGTACAGTAACATGTGGTACAGGTTTGCAGCCTAGAAGCAACAGGCTATACCATATAGCCTAGGTGTGTAGTAGGCTCTACCATCTAGGTTTGTGTAAGTACAGCCAATGGTGTTCACACAAATACAGAATCACCTAATGACACATTTCTCCGAAGGTATCCTTGTTGTTAAGTGACACATGACTATGTAACAGTAACACAGATGATAAGCTTTCCAATTATCTTTAAACCAGCCTATGAACCTCTAGCCAGTTCATGAGTTGTGTCTTTTCATTTATAAGATGAGGGCTCATCTTCTTTGGGCTAATCCTTCTGTCAGGAGGGGAAAGCTAATGTCTCATTAACTACTAGAGTTGTAAATAGAGGTAAGTGTTAAGTAGGTCTCAAACTCCAGAATAAGCTTTTTAGTTTCCCTGGACACTTCCAGAGCAATGTCTTTTAAAGAGCCAATGTAAGTTCTGCCTAAAGGTGCTTCTGACTTGCTGGACAAAGAATCTTTCTTGATGCTGGATCTACTCCTACCTTCCTGGATCTTACGTCTCTTGACTTTACTACTTCTAATGCCAGCTAGCTACTGAAACCTGTTCTTGACCTTGACTCACTTCTATGCTAGCCACTTAGCCTCTTCAGTGCCTAACTTTATATTGGCTCTTCTGTATGCCTTCTGCTCCCCCTTGATATGACAGAAAGTAACATCCAACTGGGAGATTAGACCTGTTAATTTGAGAGAAGCATTATACTCTAAATCTTTCTTAGCCAGCAACCTGATGAAAGATTTTTAGAACCTTTTATTTACTGAGGCTTAAAGCATTCTTGCTAGAGCTCTCTGGAGACTTAAGATTTTAAAGGTGAAATAGTTGTCATCAACTATTTTTTTCTATGCTGGTCTGGCCAGTAATGTATAATCAATTATGTATTTGTTGAATGCATGATAGTCACCAAATGCCATATTTAATTCTATTTAGTTTTACCAACATAAGCCATTCAGACACTTTTATTTCTGGTTTCTCATTACTATGTAAAGCATTCTTGAATTATTTACTTTATCCACGGGCTAATATAATATTTTATAATAGCCACAAATGTGATTCAAAAACAATACTGCTATATAAAAATCATATTTTATATTTACTGATAAACACCAACTCTACTTAAACCAAATAGTATATTTAGATCTTATATATTGAACAGCAGTATCACATATAGCACATCTATTTGTTAGTATTAGAATATCAAATTGACTAGCTTTTGTCTACATAACTAATGTTGAAATTGGTACTTTGTAGGAACTAAAAAGCTTAATTATTGTATATATAATATAATAGTGCAAATAAAGTTAAATTTATGTGGCAGTGAGGGTTATCATGCTCCTGATGTTCTGATATTGTAAAATATTTGAAATATTTAAATATAATGTTTAAAAAATATAAAGAATAGATATAAAATTATTATGCTTCTTTTCATTTGTAGCTTACATGACCTATTTCATTATTTTATAATTGTAGTTTCTGTAGCATCTGAAGTTAAAAAAAAATCCTAAAATATAGCCAGGTTACAGCTCTGTTTCAAAATTCACTGAAATGTTATTAATATATAGTGCTTATATTAGAGCAACTGATAATGCAGTGATGACTTTAGCCCTTTTCCAAGCCTGGTAATCTATGTAATTTCATCATACACAAAAAGAATTTTATGAAATAACTCAAACACTGTAATTGACATGAATTATTGATTTACAGTCAGCAATTACATTATGCTAGTGAACTTGTGAGCATTTTCTAACTTAGGGGATATTTGTTTTGCAGGAAAAAAGAGATGTAAAAATGGTTTTCACAACTTGAATCTGTAATTTCCCATTAATACAAAATCTTTTACCAGTTGTTACTACAAAATTGGTTAAGATTAATACTCTTCTTTCTTAATAGATCAAGGCAACTTACATTTAGTTTTCTTTGTCTTTTTGTTTGTTTGTTTTTTTTTGTTTTGTTCCCTTTCTACCCCTTAATTATTTCATGGCATTTCAGTGCATCAGAGAATTTAGATGAGCTGTCTTCCTCCAGTAGCTGGTTGCTTAACCAGAAGCACAGTAAGAAAAAGAGAAAAGACAGGACAAGATTGAAATCTTCATCCTTGACTTTCATGAGCACATCAGCCCGAACAAGGCCACTTCAGAGTTTCCACAAACGAAAACTCTACAGATTGAGCCCTACTTTTTACTGGACTCCACAGGTAAGGCTGCCTTTAGGAAGAAAACATGATCAATGATTCACCATCAGCATATTTCATGTATGAGAAGATGTGGATTGTTATTTAGAATAACAGTTATTTTGAATAATTTCATGTAGAAAACTTACAAATATAGTTTATAAATGACATAGTAGATATTAATAATATTAAAGTGGGATTTAGTATTTTTTTAAACATTGCAAGCAGTATATTCTGGAACTTCTCACATCCCTGGTTAAAAAAAAAAATCCACTATTGTGCTTAAACTAATTTAAGAGAAAATAAAATGTCAAGGTAATTTTTAAAATGTACTGGCAAAGATAAGAAGGTAAACACACATGTACTACATAATTGTCTCATAAATATTTGCTCAGAAGAAGAAAATATGCACAGCTGTCAGTTATTTTGGAGGAAGTAACATTGCCTTCCTTTTTAGGTTTGGTATTTATTAATCTTGTTGAGCATTTCTTTTCCTTCTAGGACATAAGCAATACAATTTTGGATGTTCATGCTTACAGTTTTTACAAATTAAATATACTTTATTAGAAACATTCATTTTGAAAAGCATATTTTTCATGTGTGAACAAAATAATGATTATACTTCTTTAGTGTACTTCTAAACCAGCTGTGATGAAAGGCAAAACAAGTTACTTCTAGTTCTTGCTATATATGCTTCCCTGTCAAATTCTTTCAGATTTCTTAATATATTAAAGGAAAGAAATTATTGATACTATTATTTAATATTGATTTTTTCTGATTATCATTACATTATCTATTTAAATATGTTCGTATTAAAATAAAGATGCCTTGTTAGGAACCAATTTTAAGCTCTTTTATCAAGGTCCAATTATAAATAGGAATGTGGATGCTGAAAAATTAGCTTATATTAAAGGACTTTTCCTGCTGGGTGTGGTGGTTCATGCCTGTAATCCCAGCACTTTCGGAGGCCAAGGCAGGTGGATCACTAGAGGTCAGGAGATCAAGACCAGCCTGACCAACATGGTGAAACCCCGTCTCTACTAAAATACAAAAATTAGCCCAGCATGAAAAATACAAATTTTGCCCAGCACAGTATCAGGCACCTGTAATCCCAGTCACTAGGAAAGCTGAGGCAGGAGAATCACTTGAACCTGGAAGGCAGAGGTTGCAGTGAACCGAGATCATGGCACCACACTCCAGCCTGGGTGATAGAGCAAAACTCCATCTCGAAAAAAAAAAAAAAAAAAAAGACATTTCCTGTTTAGTAGCTCAGATATTATTGAATGATTATGATACTAAGGTATGATACCCAAATTTGAAATCATTCTTTAAAAAATGTTTTGTTTCATCATTAAAAATATTTTTTTACCTAAGTTAACCTATGGGAACATAATTTTTATTTAAACTTTTTATATATGAAACCATAACTTATTTAATAATTTTGTTTAAAATTGCTATAAGCAATAGATAAATAACATTTTTCAAATGTAATTTTGTGACTTTATAGTCATAAATAGAATTATCTGTAGAAAGTATTTTACATGTGAATTGGCCATAGTATTCTGACTGGAAGAAATTCACTTAAATAATTTAAGTGATTTGCTAGATGTTACTAGAATAATATAACGTGTGCTTTGATAATGTAAAGACTGGCCTGAAAAGGTGTAAATATTTTAAGACTTTCAGTAAAGGACAGAACAAGTTGTAGGATTACTGTTACTAGTAGATTACTTAGTTTACCACATTTTAGCTACTACTATGCTAAGCAATTTTACTACATTATTTAACCATCAAGCATATAACAATTAGGTAATATTAATACCACCTTTAGATACAGAAATTGAGATTAAGAGTGATGAACAGTAAATTTGATTCCAAAGCCCATATTCTTTTTATAAACATTGATAATAACAAAAATAAACCAAATCTTTTGTGGGCCTGAAATTAGTAAAGACAGTATATTTCAAGGTTTCTAAGGTTAATAGGTATTAGGAAATATATAGAAAAAATGGGTTTTGAAAGATAAGCAGAGTTTTGAAGGTTATGGTGGAGAGAAAGAAAGGATTGTAAGTGAAAAAAGCGTTGGAGAATAGCAAATTCTGTGCCCCTCAACTTATCTCCCATATTGTCAGCCCAATAATTATTTGCCTTTCTAAACTTAATTTAAATGTCATATCTCTCAGGAAGCCTTCCTTGGTATCCCCAGAATGGTGTATATATATATAGTTACAGCACCCTGTTTTAATCTCACTAAGTTGAAATGTATTATACTCTTCTACAGTCGTTTCTGTTTCTGACTTTTCATTAACTGGTATGTTTTTGGAGAATAGGGACTGTATCTTTTTATTTCCAGACCTACAGGGCCTTGAAAACTACCTGTCTGATAGTATGTGCTCAATAAATAATCATTTAATGTGTTAAAGAATTAATGTAATGGAACGTAGGAAAATACTTAAAAAGCAATAGAGAATGGGAAGGTGTGTGTGTGTGTGTGTGTGTGTGTGTGTGTCCTAGATTTGCCTACTGTAATGGTCTAGAATAGTGATATTCCACATACCATAGAACTTTTTTTTTTTCTTTATGGAAAGTCTTGAGAACCATAGAACTTTCTGAAGTGATTCAAATACTCTATAAATCTATACTGTCCAATATGGTAGCTCCCAGACACATGTAGCTATTGAGCACATGAAACATGGTTTATGTAATTGAGGAACTGAGTCCTTTTTCTTTCTTTCTTTCTTGTTTTTTTTTTTTTTCGAGAAGTCTTGCTATGTTGCCCAAGCTGGTCTTGAACTCCTGGGCTCAAGTGATCCTCCCGCCTTAGCCTCCCAAAGTGCTGAGATTACAGGTGTGAGCTACTGTGCCCATCTTGAATTTTTAATTTATTTTATTTTTATTAATTTTAATTTAAGTAGCCACATGTGGGTAATGGCTACCAAATTGGACAGCACAAATCTAGACTCAGACTTATCCTGATAAGCAATCAGTATGCCTGGCACTCATTTTGTTTTCTAATACCATTTCCTACTAAAAGGAATCGGGGATTTCTGGAGAAATGGCTGGTCTCCAGGGCTGGGAAAGAAAAGGTATGATTATCCTGGAACATCTTAATGTTAACAGAAAGCAAGGAAGTGTTTTTAAAAATGATAAAGGCATGTTGAAAGAACACAGAAGCTAGCTTGAAGAGGCCCCTACTGGCCAAATCTAGGACTATTTGTCATCAAAATAAATAAGGATAATATTAAACCACAGAAAAAATAGGAATCCATGAGTCCATACTGATGATAGATAGATAAATTGGGGAAAAGGAGGACTTTTCCATATGCTAGATGCTGATTAATAATTGTTGAATAAACAGTCGAATTAGAGAATCATTTTGCAATCATCATAGTAAAGATTGATTGGACAAGAATCATTAACAGGTAATAAATCTTGGGTCAGGGCTAAGGATAAACTTGATGAGGAACAAGATATTTGCATGATCTTAAAGCAAGGGTCCTCAATCCTTAGGCCACAGACCTATATTGGTCTGTGGCATGTTAGGAATGGACCACACAGCAGGAGGCAGGAGGTGAGCAGCAGGTGAGCTAGCCTTACTGCCTGAGCTCTGCCTCCTGCCAGATCAGTGGAGGCATTAGAGCCTCATAGGAACTCAAACCCTATTGTGAACACCAAAGATTGGCAGCAAGCACCAGAAGTTAGGAAATAGGCCTAACAGATTCTTCCTCTTAGTCCTCAAAAGAAACCAATCCTGCTGACATCTTGATTTGACATCTAGCATCCAGAACTGTTATTTAAGCTACTCAGTTGTGGTATTTTGTTATGGCGCACCTAGCAAACTAATACAGTGAACATTTTTGTCAGTAAGGTCTTTGTAGTTGCAATTAAGGATCTTGAGATGAGATCATTTTGAATTTAAAATAGTTCCTAAATCCAGTGATTTGTGTCCTTAGAAAGGAGAAAGAGATTTGAGAAGACAAATAGAAGACTTAGAGACAGAGAAGGCTATATGAAGATGAAGGCAGAGATTTGAGTTGGGCTTCCACAAGTTAAAGAATGTCAGAGACTGGGCTGGGCATGGTGACTTACACCTGTAATTTCAGCACTTTGGGGGGCCAAGGCAGGAGGATAACTTGAGGTCAAGAGTTCCAAACCAGCCTGAACAACATGGTGAAACCCTGTCTCTACTAAAAATAGAAAAATTAGCCAGGCATGTTGACAGGTACCTGTAATCCCAGCTACTTGGGAAGCTGAGGCAGGAGAATTGCTTGAACCTGGAAGGCAGTGGTTGCAGTGAGCAGTTATCCCACCACTGCACTCCAGCCTGGGCGACAGAGTGAGACTCCATCTCAAAAATAAAATAAAATAAAATAAATAAATAAATAAAAATAAAATAAAATCAAGGTGTTGGCAGAAAACATAAAATTTAAATATAATTTAATTTTTAGAATGCCAGGAGCCATAGAAGCTGAAAGAGGCAAGGAAGGATTCTCCCCTAGAGCCATCAGAGGGAGTATAGCCCTGCCAACACGTCAATTTCAGACTTTTGTCATTCACAACAATGAGAGGATTAATTTCTGTTGCTTTAAATCACTTGTCTAATGATAATTTATTATGGCAGCCCTAGGAAACTTTGTACAGAGTTTAGTGCCAGGAATTAAGGTGCTGATATAACAAATACTTAATGGTAGAAGTGGCTTTGGAACTGAGTAATGAGCAAAGGCTGGAAGAATTTTAAGGTACATGCTAGGGAAAAGCCTAGGTTTTGTGAGGGCTCAGAAGGAAGTGAGGAAAATGGAAAACAAAACTGTTGTTATCTTAGAGAATACATATGTCATCATAAACAGAATTTGCTAGAAACATGAATGTTAAAGGTGCCTTTGGTGAGGTTTCAGGAGGAAATGAGGGGCACTTATTAGAAACTGGAGGGAAGGCTATCCTTGTTATAAAGTGGCAGAAAACTTGGCTGAATTATATTCTACTGTGAAGTGGAAAACAGAACTTTTAAGCAACAAACTTGGATA